TTGGTCAAAAATACTCCGAGGATGATGTTTTAATTAGACCAGTCAGAGCCGGTTCGCCACTGGGTATCATATTTTTCAGAAAAGTTCTTGTTATTTTTGTAAATAATTCATTTCAAGATAAATTCTAGAAATAAATTATGTTGATAAAGTTCATTTTTCCACATCCATTGCTTTCCAACTCATTTTAAATACTAGAACTATCGCTGAATGCGATTCATACCCCCACCAATGTCCTTGACAGAAGACGACTTGGAAAGGTGGTTAAGGGAATTACTTTAGTGGCACAAATACATATACATATCTGGTGAAAAAAAGACTAATTGTACTGGTATTAGTATAAATATATAATGTCAAATCATGTTCGAAACAGTTACAAATAACCTTTCATTTTCCCAATGTACTACACATTTTCTAAGTCAATTTTTGACCTTCAAGTGTGGCATTGACCTTAAGCTTGCATAAGGGTGAGATGGGTTCTGCACATTGCCCAGTTGGGGTGAACATTTGAGTAAAGTTTGAAGAAAATCCTTCCATTAGTATAGAATTTATAGAGCGGACATAACATATTGTCTAGTATTGATTGTTTGTAAATTTAAAGACTAAATGTCACAGGGTGAGAAAAATGTGCAGCCTGACCGGGACTCGAACCCGGGACCCTCGGAATACCGTTCCGCGGCTCTACCGACTGAGCTATCCGGCCGCTTACACATTTTCTCCCCTAAATAGTGAACAGTTCTGAACCGTGACATACTTCATCACAATATTGAAATTCGTCCTCGAATTTCACAAAGCTACAGAGCAATGCTAATTGAACTCTGAGCTATAAGCATTCACGGTCCCCCGTTGGGCGCCAAATGTCACAGTCCACTCTTACGATATGGGAAAGGTGCTGCTAAGAGGTTCTGGGCTTGAGGGTTGCTATAAAAATACAGAAATACGCTCTCAGAAAATATTTATTATCAATGAATACGAAGTCTGGCTCGCGCCATGAAAATCTTCAGTAGGAGTGCAAAGACAAAATAATGACAAATGACACAAAATCATGAATGGCAAAATGTAGAATAACAAGTATGGGATCAATACAGACATTCATATTTACCTATAAAAATACAGAAATACGCTCTCAGAAAATATTTATTATCAATGAATACGAAGTCTGGCTCGCGCCATGAAAATCTTCAGTAGGAGTGCGCATGCGTGAAGGTACTTAGTGCGGAAATAGAATATTTAAGATTGAGGCCCGTACCAATGGTTAGTACATACTTGTTAATAAATGAATAAATGAAGAAATAAATGAATGAGTAAATGAATAAAAGGATGAATGTATGGAATATAGGATAAGGACACAAATATAGGACTTCACATAATCTACGGTGTACAATACGGGACATACATTTACAAATAACATCTAACATTAATACATCAATATGACCCTGCGACATAAGGGGCATAACTTTATCAAAATGCAATACAGAGTTATGAAACTTGATCTGCATATCTTATTTGTGACACCTCATATATCTTTTAAGTTTCAAGCAAATACCTGTGCTAGTTTCAGAAATATTCAATTACATGTTGAAATTTAAGAACATTTTCTAAGTCAATTTTTGACCTTCAAGTGTTACCTTGACCTTTAGCCAGCACAAAGGTAACATGGATTCTGCACATAACCTTGTTGAGGTGAACATTTGAGTGAAGTTTGAAGAAAATTCTTCCATTAGTATAGGATTTATAGAGCGTACACGACATATTGTCTAATATTTGATTAATGTAAATTTGAAGACTTAAAAAGGGGCATAACTTTATCAAAATGCAATACAGAGTTATGAAACTTGACCTGCATATCTTAATTGTGACACTTCATATATATTTTAAGTTTCAAGCAAATACCTTTTCTAGTTTCAGAAATATTCAAATACATGTTAAAATTTAAGAACATTTTCTAAGTCAATTTTTGACCTTCAAGTTTGAAGCCGGCAAAAGGGTAACATGGGTTCTGCACATAACCTTGTTGAGGTAACAATTTGAGCCAAGATTGAAGTTCTAAAATCTTTCAATTAGTGTAGGACTTACAGAGCGGACACGACATACTGTCTAATATTTCATCGTTTGATATTTGACCTTCAATTGTGACCTTGACCTTGAGCTGACACATGGGCAACATGGGTTCTGCACATCCCCTTGTTGAGGTGAACATTTGAGCCAACTTTGAAGAAAATCTTTCAATTAGTGTAGGAGTTACAGAGCGGACACGACATACTGTCTAATATTTCATTGTTAGATATTTGACCTTCATGTGTGACCTTGACCTTGAGCTGACACATGGGCAACATGGGTTCTGCACATCACCTGGTTGAGGTGAATATTTGAGCCAAGTTTGAAGAAAATTTTACAATAAGTGTAGGAGTTACAGAGCGGACACGAAATACTGTCTATTATTTGATTGTTTGATATTTGACCTTCAATTGTGACCTTGACCTTGAGCTGACACATAGGCAACATGGGTTAAGCACATCCCCTTGTTGAGGTGAACATTTAAGCAAAGTTTGAAGAAATCCTTCAATTTGTATAGGATTTATAGAGCGGACACGAACATGGAGACGGACGGGAGACGGACGGACCGACCGACGGACGGACGCGACAAAGCGAATCCATTATAGCCCCCCCCCCCCCCCACATTTTGTGGTGGGGTATAACAAGTGCGTTGTGTGATAAAGTATGGAAGCGGAAAGGTTACAAAAGAATTCGAGACATATATACTATTGGGAATGTCCGTTGAAATTGTTTTAAATTCTGACTTCATTCATTTTTATAAGCTATAAAGCCATAAATTCAATACAAAATTAAACCAAAGAGGTTAACTGATCTTGGACTTATTCATCAGTTATAATCGTAACCGAAAATGAAATTCAAATAAAATCCTCGCTCATTAAAATAATGTTCTGTTACGGGTGAAGTATTTGACAGAATTTAATCTACGTTTAAGTCAAGTTTAAAATTAAAGTGTATGTATGTATACACCACTTTAATACACCTGTTAATATAACTTGTTAAGAAATAATTTAAATAGTCCACCACATAACGCTTCGAATTACACAGTAATTCAGTGCTTACCTGCTTGGATACTGATTTATATATAATTGGCAAAATGGTCGAGTATACAATGATACTAGTTCTTGTTCTAAGTCTTCTGACATGGATCTCAACAAATAATTACTACAATTACACGTATTCAAAACCTCAGGATTGTCAAGATGTTCAAAATTACGGGCACAGTGAAAATGGTGTTTACACAATATACCCGGAAGGAACTTTGGGATTTCCCGTCAGGTGTGATTTTAATGATTCTACTTCCGGTGCATGGACTGTGATACAACGTCGCGTTTCAGCTAGTGACTTCTACAAAAGCTGGAATGAATATCAGGTTGGATTTGGAGATCTTAGCGACAATTTCTGGCTTGGAAATCAACAAATTCATATGATTACAAGGCAAGGCTGGTATGAGCTACGCATTGATATTGTATCTCCTGAAAATGAAGTGGCACATGCGTTATATAATGTGTTCTATGTCGGTGATGCGAAGTCACGATATGAACTGCTTGTTGATGGATATAGTGGAACTGCCGGGGATAGTTTGGGGACACATAATGGACATAAATTTACTACTAAAGATAAAGATAATGACATACACGAAGGGAACTGTGCAGTGGATTTTAAAGGTGGGTGGTGGTATGAAAAATGTCATTTTTCAAATCTTAATGGTGACTATGGTAACACTCAATATGCGAAAGGTTTGTCCTGGTATCATTGGAAAGGATATTACGTTTCAATGAAAACAACAGAAATGAAGATCCGGCGATGGCAGTCTCCGGATATGGGCTATTAATTTCTAGTATGGAACTAACACTTAGAGCTACATCTGTGTATGATAACATTTCAAGCAAACTTGATATCTTGAGAAGGGCTGTTCCAAATTCAAGATCCAGACCTACCAAATTGTTCAGTATTTGGTCTTCTATAGGTTGTAAAGTGATAATCATATAATTAACGCAAATTGGGGGTATGAACGTCTGACGATAAAATGAAATTATTCAATAAATAGGAATAGATTATGTATTAATACCCTTTTGAGTACAACCCTCTGTGGAAAAATTCATTCAGCGGAGTTCAGAAAATAGTTCAGTAGATGAAGTGTCAAAATCTTTGTCTAGAATAAGTCTTGCGGCCCAGCTCTCTTTTGGAACTTAATATGTTAATCTTCCAAGAAATATGTACATGTGCAGTTACCATAAATTATTCAATAATAGTTAAAACAATAGTAAAGATGTGGTAAAATATATGCATTGTAAAATAGTATACGTACAGGTATAGAAAATATGAATATTCTAATGTAACAAAGAGGTTCATTTTCTAATAACATTATCAAATGGCTTTGCCAAGTCAAGGTTTTATTAATTGTATAATACCCAATAATGTTTCTTCAGAGCTTCAAACAATTTGCTCAGTATACAGTATACACCATTTTATTATAAGATAGGTCTAATTAAATTATGTTCAGTTAAATGCACGAGATTCGCAAGTTTCTGTATCTGGATTTCCTTTTTTTGTTTGTTTGTTTGTTGTGTTACTGATCATGGAATAAAATAAAACATTTAACAGCTTACATACGTTGTACATAGGCAGTTTCATAGCTTGGGATTCAGGCGTTGATATTTTTTTGCATATTCATAACATACACGCTATTTCATACTCGTTCGTGTTTTCATAATATCAACGATTTGCCGAACTGGAACCCAGGATAGCAGTTTCATAATAAATATAGTAACGGTATAACGTACGATGAGACAATAACTACAAACCTATTTAAGAAAATCCAAACAAAACTGAACTTATGAACAGAAAAGTGTCCACTGTACATTTTCAGTTACAATGTGCGGGTCCCGTCGCTGGCGATTGTTTTCCATTGCAATTGTATTTGATACTGTTAAAACGGAGTATATCCAACCGATAGTACACAAGGTTAGCTTTTAAAAAAGCTAGTAGCGACTCGCTTCGTAATTTTTTTCCAGGGGTGTGTTTAAATGTAAAAATGACAGTTCTGTTAGCTGAAGAGACTTCAGCGAACATCAAAATAAAAGTGATATATAAAGTTATGGAAGCAAGTTCTCTCAGTTTAACAAAGAGGAATATGAGTTTATATGAAGATGCATGTAAACAGATAGAATGAAGTCCCTATGTCTATGCACATTTACTATATGGACTGTTGACCTTGACCAAAAAAATGTTAGATTGGTAGAATTCATAAAGATGTCTCTTTATACGTAGTTAAGTTGTAATATGTTATTTAGTACTGGAATGAGTGACAGACACAAGTCCAATACAGGAATATATTACTGAAGAACTCTCTTGGGTGTGGGCGAATTTATATTCATGGGGCATGATTAACATTTGATTTGTACAAGTTCTCAAGGCATTGGTACATATTCAATATTAAAGCTGGAGGCATTGAAGTTTATATCAATAAGACTTAAACATATTTTCCCTAAGCACTTTAATAAAAATTATGTCCACTTCATCTTGGCATGTGAAACATTTTAAACAAATGGATATGATGTAGATACATGAACACAATTTTAAAGTGGTCAACAAGGCAATACCACATGCCAAATATTTAAGGTTTAGGCATTAATAAGATATAAAGGCGTGCGTATGTGTTTCTATATTAGACGTGTCCTTGACCTTACGTAGAACAATATGAACAACTATGAAAGAGGACTCCTGTAGTGTGGTTAATGTGCAGTCTTTAGTTTCATTGTTACCATTTAAAGAGAAACTAAATTACACATTAGGGACAACAGATGAATAGGGATCCCAATTCCTGTTTATGTTCACCAGAGCACAAAATGCTCATAGTGAGCATAAAAGGGCATTATATTGTAAGAGGGCTTGGTATAATGATCATCTCCTGTACAAAGATTCAACGACAATAATCAACATAAATATAGTTTATTTCTTTTCCCTATATATCTAATACTCTCCCGGATCCCGGGCGTCCGGATCCCGGAATTCCACCCCCATCCTAAATACCGGAAAGGATAAAATGACAGGAAAAAAAGAAAAAGAAAAAAATGCACAGAACCAGATGTACACTTATGTTAATTAACCAACGAAAACTTACTACAGAGAAAACAGATGAAATCGCTAGATCAAAAGTCAGTGTAAATATGATTTATTGAAAAGAATTCATGAAAACAAACATTTTTATATCTTTGCGCTCAAAGCAATACTTGCTGCTTTTTAAAAATGGCGAGAAAATTGAATTTTTTTTGACGCTATGTAAGATCAAATTTGATTGGCTAAATTATTTTGGATTCCAGCCCTGACAGATAAATTTTGTAGAAAGCTGAAAGCCAAGCTTCGATTAAATTTTTGGATTTTCGCCGTGGCGAGCCGGCATATTATAGCATTGTTTATCTCAGCGCGAAAAGTACAAAAAGTATATTAGTTTGAATTAAATCGCTAAAATTAGATTTGTTAGATCTCTGTTATGACTCAAGAAGCTTAACTAGAATGCTGCTTTGCGCTACATTTGATGTAAAATACAAAATTAAATGGTAAATTTTCGTAGATAACCATGGATAAAATAATCGCTATTTGTCATTGCAGTGGTTCTTCCTCTGAAATGCGTTGATATAGCTTGCAACACCCGGATGGGAAAAGTTTGTTTATTCATTACGCAGTATCATGCAGCATTTTGGCCTGGCACAACCTTTGTTGAAGAACTTAAGTCTTGTAAACTTTAATTTGCAGTTATCTTTGTTAATAATGTATTTTCACATAGATCTAGAAATAAATTATGTTGTTAAAGGTCATTGTCCCACACAGATTGCCTACATACATATGTAAACAACTCTTTTAAATACACCCGAGTATTATGATAAAGTGTGGAAGCAGCTAGGAAGGTGACACAATTAAAGAATTCGAGACATATATACTAATGGAAATATCCCTTGAAATTATTTTAAATTCTGAGTTTATTATATCAGCTATAAAGCCATAAATTCAAAACAAAACCAAGCCAAAAAGGTAAAGTTCTTGGACTTATTCATCAGCTATTCGTTTCCAAAACCCTATGGGATTGTGGGTGGGAGCGGGGAAGTGACTTAAGTTTTAACCAGTGAAGTTGTTGAATTTTGCTTTCACATCAAAAATGTTAGTGATTATAGTTTGAATATTTAGTCAGAGCATGAAGAATTTGCGGACTTCTATAATTTGAATGATTTACATGCCTGTACGTTGAATTTGCTGGACTAAAGTCACAGTCCCAACTAATCTCAAGGCGAGGGCTATAAATGACTGGTGCAACTTTATACACCATGACATGTAAAATTGATGGTGATAAACATAAGCTGAAATCTTGATTCACATTCAAGAGAAAAAAAACTTTGTTTAAACTAAGGATGATCATTCATTTATATTTATATTTATACTTATTTATTCCAGATAGATTATGAAAACCATGCCAGATACTAAATGGCAAAGCCAGCAATTTTTATTAAAGAATATATATTCTGTTACCGAGTTTAATGTTTTAACAAACTATTAAGTTGGATTAGAATAAGATAAATTGCAACAGAAACACATAAAGATTAATATATGATGCGCGATTATTGTCTGAAATAATCAATATAATAATTATGGAAATGATGATAACTAATAAAGGAACTCCGCTGAGGTACAAAAGCCTATCAACATAAAATTTGAATTACTGCCATAGACCAACAGGAGCACTTTAAACAGTAAGTTTTGCAATTTTAAGATGATTAAAATATAAAGTTTGCGACCATACCTGCCATTAAGCATACTATCAGAGATGTAGATAACATCTATGTCTCTGATATTATTAGTGTTTTAAATTTCTTTTGTACTTTTGAAAATCTTTTTTTCTATTGTTCTATTATTAAGGCTTAAACTGCCATGAACTAAGTGAAAGTTTATTTCTTTTCAGGCCAAGATGGCAAACATTATTGATTTGAGTGCAGCCATTTCGGGGTCAGACCCTATCTGCCGGCTTGATTTGCCACTGTAAACTGTCAATAAATAACTTCAAACATTTAACAAAAACAGGGCATCTGTCTATTCTTAAAACATTTCCACAAGAATTAAAAGAAATCCCATTTCCCTACTGGCACAAGTGATATGACAATTATGCATTATAATCGTACAAGTTTAGGCTTTGAAGTCATTAGAATAAGTCAAAGAGTTTAATTTGGATATTTTTATATAAATGAAACATTCATGAAATATTAAGAGGATATTTTTTCGTTTGAGTGAAATATGGAATATATTTTCACAAACATGATAAAATGCAACATATTTTCACGAGCCGGGACGGCGAGTGAAAATATTTGGCATATTATCATGTTGAGTGAAAATATATACCATATTTCACGAAAAACGAAAAAATAACCCTTTTATTTAATTTCATTTTCAAAGAAAAATGGTTACAAACCCCCTTGCTTGCTCCGCAGCTGCAATTGTACAGCGCGCAGTAATATAATTGGTCAGGGTATCGCATTGTAACATGGCCAGCGATTGGCTGAAAAAAAGTGCAGGGAAAACCGTATGCGTCAATTTATACATGAGGTGATTGGATGGAAGTGGGGTATTTTTAAGTAAAAAAACTAATTTAAAAAGTAACACTACACTGTTTTCTGAAGAAAATGAAATATTTCATGAGTCTCTGTGATAATTTTGACTTAGATATTTGCATTCATAAAAAGTGTATGTCAGTCCTGTGATCAGCAGAAAATTTCAATGAAATGGGGGGTAATCCTCTCTGAAGTCATTTTGCAAAAAATTTGGTTGGCTACCCCTATATAACAAGAACATTTTCATGTGTCAGGCATTTCATTCTGCTAGAAAAATTAGCTCTTTAGCATGAAAACTCAATTTTAAGGTAGGATTAGGGACCATTTCTTATAATGTAAGTCTATGGAAATATCAATGTGAGTGTCTGATCAATTGGCGTCCGCGCGTCAGATTTTGTGAAAGGGCGACAGCAACTTCTCGAGCCTTTTATAGTTGTTCATAATAAAAGCCGATCATTCCGATCGGTATGAGGGTGCTTGATTTAGGAAATAGATATCAATTCTGAGTGCATTGTTGTAGAATAATGCACGGTTTGAGTTCAAATGCGTAGTAATATAATCACGAAGGCCGATAGGCCTGAGTGATTAATTACAACGCATTTGAACAGCGAACCGGAGAATTTCGCAATGCAAACATTTTCAAATTAAATAACCTTTTCCGTCAATAAATCGCGCTCTTCAAGGTATTTTTGGCTTGCAGCCACGGCTGCAAGCCATTTCATATGGAAAACTTGTTCCGGTTAGGTGGTTTTCTGCTTACATTTGTAAGTGCATGATTGAACGGGAAACCAGCTACAATCGTGCCAATCGCAACTTTACGGCCTTTTCCGTCACTCTTCGGATAAATGATAATAGCCGATGTAGTTCCGATTGCAATCGTGACAATTCGGGCGATTCCGTCATACTGCGGAATCAGACGAAGTAATATTACGGAAATCTAAGCTATTTTAGTTACTTCGGTAATCCCAGTTTGTTTATATAAATAGGATTCGTATTTTTACTTGATTTATTGATTTAAACCGTAATAAATTATAAACGAAATTGTTCCGTTTCAATTCCTTTTCAAGACGCAAAAGTTAATTTCTTTTATAATTGTTTTTTGTCTGTATTAGTTTTATAATACAATAGAGGATGTTGACTGTAGTAGTATTCCGTCTTCAAAGGGTGGTCCAAATCACACAGAATATTAGTGCATGATCGAGTTATATTTAGATCTACTGAACTTGGTGAAGTAATCTAAAAATAGCCCATGCATATCATTAACCTTACCACGTCCCAGGTGATGATCTATAGATAGCGCATCGTATCTGTGAACATGCTTATTAATTGGTACCACGTAACGAGGTGGAAATGAAATGTGCACACTTGTTTCCTTTTATTTTCTTATTAGTTTTAATTATTTTCTTTATTAGTTTTATACAATAGAGAATATATTTCAAATCGTTTTGACAAAAATATTCGTTTTTACAAAAATAAAAACAACTACAGTAAATATGTTGGGATGAAGGCACAACTGTGCAAGCCTTTCCTTTTAAAAGGAAACTTTATTATTTATCATTTTGTAGTACACAGTGGATTATTATGGTATGTCATTCCGAAAGCTGTAAATAGAATGATGAGTTGATGACCTAAATATTCCGAAAATCTATTTATAGAGGGATGTACTCCTGTCGGTAATTCCCGGTCTCTCCTGGTCTATTTTTACGACCGGCGAATAGTACCACACGTTTATTGTCCGGTCTCTCCCGGTTTTGGAGTAGATGTTTGATATCGTTACAGAACAGAACAAATCTTTTACAGAAAAATAAGCTTTTTTTCAAAATGAATGTTTGTCACTTAGTTTGGTTACAATAATTAATAAACACAGATCAACTCTCAAAATTATTGCTTATTATTATACATAAACATACAATTCGAAAAAAAAAACCAACAACACAAATCGCATGTTTTATTTTATCTATATGAGATAAAAACAATAAATATTTACAATAATTGAGAAAAAATGTACATTTTTATGGCATTAATATGACACTATCAACTTTGAAACATTTTATTTAATTTGTTATTCGTGTTTAGTAAAGATGCCGAGGAATTGTTCAAAGCTACAAATCAGATTTTATGAATTATTCAATTGATTGATAATTTAAGAAATGATAAAGAAAAATACAAATGTACATGTATATGGTTTAAGAATAAACAATATTATATATTGAAAGATTAACCATAATTTACTGACTTTTTCCAGTTAAGTTTTGACTTATAATCGTCGGTCATTATGACAATTGAATTCTTAAAATAATAGTAAACGTAAAAACTCAGTATTAAAATAGTGCATAAAACACAAAAAAGAAAAGAAAACAATATTCATAAAATCTGTATTTTTTTATTTAAAAATATATTACAATTAGTGTATAATAAACATTAATGCTCAACATGATCAACATGGTAATATAACAAGTGTCATATTGTTACTAAGTGTGAACAGATACCTTAAGAGGGGGTCTTCGCTAATAGCGATAACATAATAAGGGACAATTACACACGTGTGGTGTTGATCATGCGTTACTCATATGGATTATAAATGATTATATACATGTATATCCGTTGCTATTAATAATCACGATCATAAAGAAATAACAAGTAATATTCTAATTTCTAGCATGCCAATCAAATTTATAAATAATGAACAATGTCTTTCGTTCGTTCATTCATAAGTGATATACAATTCTGGTAAAAACCAATGAACCATTGAACAGTTTATCATCATATATCTACTAGTTCATCTGCACCTGCTGCATTTCTTGCTTGGACGCCCTTTGATGCTTTGCATCAATGCTTTTCTTGTTATTGTCTTGTTTTGCACGCGATATTTAGCGCTACATTGTGACGCCACGTAAACAACTCTTTAAACGTCTGTGCAGCGTTAATGACTGAATTAAAGATATTGGTGTTCGGATTTATTTTCTTAGTTTGACCATTTTTTATCATTCTAGATAGTTTGCAAAACAAAATTCAACAAAAAGTTTTTTGTATTTATCAGATTTTTCAAACAAAATGGCGAAAGAAGTCCCTTAAAATAAATATGAGTTTTGACTCCGCCCACTTTCATATTTATATTTCATATTTATTAAAAAAAATATGAAATATATTTGACTGATATAGCACCATATTTAATTAGTAAATTAAATAAAACAAACAAAATTGACATTTTCTTCAAGTTATTTCGTTGTTTCAACATTTTTTTTAAAGTGAAATTAGTAAGTTTTCATTTACAAGACATACATGTAGAATCACTACAACTTATATTAAGAATAATTTTCTTAATGTTCCGTCCATTTTTGTTTACGATAATAAAATTATGGAAAAGGTGTTTTAAATAAATAAAAACGTGTTCGCGTGTCTCAATTTATTGCATGAAATCCGAATAAAATCTTCCATGTTTTCTCATGAAGTCATTTTAATTATGTTCTGTTACGGGTGATGTATTTGGCAGAATTTATTTTACGTTTAAGTCAAGTTTAAAATGTGTGTATGTATACCATACTTCAATACACCTGTTAATATAACTTGTTAAGGAATAATTTGAATAGTCCACCACTTAACGCTTCGATTTAATTCAGTGCTTATCTGCTTGGATACTGATTATATATAACTGGCAAAATGGTCGAGTATACAATGATACTAGTTCTTGTTCTAAGTATTCTGACATGGATCACAACAAATAATTATTACAATTACACGTATTCAAAACCTCGGGATTGTGAAGATGTTCAAAAATACGGCCATAGTGAAAATGGTGTTTATACAATATACCCGGAAGGAACTTTAGGATTTCCCGTCAGGTGTGATTTTAATGATTCTACTTCCGGTGCATGGACTGTGATTCAACAGTGACTTCTACAAAAGCTGGAATGAATATCAGGTTGGATTTGGAGATCTTAGCGACAATTTCTGGCTTGGAAATCAACAAATTCATATGATTACAAGGCAAGGCTGGTATGAGCTACACATTGATATTGTATCTCCCGAAAATGAAGTGGCACATGCGCTATATAATGTTTTCTATGTCGGTGATGCCCAGACACAATATGAACTGCTTGTTGATGAATATAGTGGGACAGCCGGGGATAGTTTGGGGTCACACAATGGACAAAAATTTACAACTAAAGATAGAGATAACGACCCATACGAAAGTAATTGTGCAGTGCAATTTATAGGTGCATGGTGGTATGAAAAAGGCCATTCTTCAAATCTTAATGGCGACTATGGTAACACTCAATATGCGAAAGGTTTGACTTGGTATACTTGGAAAGGAAGTTACGTTTCCATGAAAACAACAGAAATGAAGATCCGGCGATGGCAGTCTCTAAATATGCATGGATAAAATTATATGACACACAGATAAAGAGAAAATGAACTAATACAATTATATCTCATACGAAATAATAATATTGATGAAAATGATAATAATATAATAATAATTATAAAGTTTTTATTTAACGAGAACTCACTTGAACAATATATCAATCTTCCATGAGGCCCTCAACAAGGAACAAGATAAATTTTTAACATTAAAACTATTAAAATACATAAACAAGATTAAAAGACAAGCTATCAATTTGTTGTATGGAATTGACACTAACAGAGCTGCATCGGTGTATGATAACATTTAAAGCATAAGGTTTTAAAACGGTTTACAAATGTAGCAGACTTGATATAATGAGGAAGGTGTTACCAAATACAAGATCCAGAATAAACAAATGACTTACGAAATTGTTCAGTACTTGGTATTTGTTTGAAAAGTTGAAAATCAGATGATGAACGCAAATTGGGAGTATGAACATCTGACGATAAAATTAAATTATTCAATAAATAGGAATAGATTATTCATTATCTTAAAAATCATAATAGCTTTTTGAAAAAAAAACCTCTGTAAAAAGGTCATCCAGCGGAGTTCAGAAAATAGTTCAGCAGATGGAGTGTCATAATCTTTGTCTAGAATGAGTCTTGCAGCTCAGCACTCTTTTGGAACTAAATAAGTTAATCTTCCAGGAATATGTACACGTGCAGTTACCATAAATTATACAAGAAGTGTTAAAACAATAGTAAAGATGTGGTAAAATATATACATTGTAAAACATTATACGTACAGGTATAGATATGAATATTCTTACGTAACAAAAAGGTTCATTTTTAAGAACATTAGCAATATGGCTTTTCCAAGACAAGCTGTTATTAATTGTATAATACTCAATAATTTTTCTTCAGACCTTCAAATAATTTGTTCAGTATACACCAAATTTTTTATTTTTTTTAGGATAGATCTGCTTAAATTTTGCTCATTTAAATACACGAAATTCGCGACTTTCTACAGCTGGAATTCCTTTTTTTGTTTGTTTGTTTGTTGTGTTACTTATCATGAAATAAAATAAAACAATTTGACAGCTTACATACGTTGTACATAGGCAGTTTCATAGCCTGGGATTCAGACGTTGATATTTTTTTGCATATTCATAACATACTCGCTATTTCATACTCGTTCGTATTTTCATAATATCAACGATTTGCCGAACTGAATCCCAGGCTAGCAGTTTGATAATAAATATAATAACGGGACAATAACTACAAACCTATTTAAGAAAACCCAAACAAAACTGAACTTTTGAACAGAAAAGTGCCAATTGTACATTTTTCAGTTTGTTTACGCATTATGCAATATCATGTTGCATTTAGGCACTGGCTCAACCTTTGTTGAAGAACTTAAGTCTTGCAAACTTTAATTTGCATAAATTACAGATTTGCTTTTCAGACCTCCTCACACTTAAGCGAAAGTATCCGACGCCATCTCTTAATTTTTTTTAGACAATTTAGACTTGAAGAGATTTCGTCACCATTACATTATTAATAGTCAGTGGTATTCGTATCTTTTGTTGTGAATTTATTTTTCTCCCAAAAAAATGTGGCGGATGAAATCATCAGTCTGTTTTTACAAACAGCAAAGATTCGACGGTTGGCGCAAAGGGCTGCAAGATGTCGGCTCATGATAATATTTCCTTATCATACGAATCTTCGCGATAGCTTACGAACTTGAACGTATTGTTGCTAATATGTACGTATTGAAGCTAATATGTACGTAATGAAGTTATTCTAATACGAATTCATGACGGGTTAAAGTGGCTGATAACAAATGATTAACGTTTAGAAAACGAACGGCATACCCGACCCTGCATACGAATCATTATGAAAGATGCTAATGGTAACCAATTTATATCATAAGTACATTTTTGCCATGTTTGTCGTGCTTTCCTGATACTCTTAACAAAAATAAATGACTACTATGATAATAAATTTACCGTCGCTTAAATGGAAATATATACATTGTCTATTGCTGCTGTATGTGTTTGGCATGACTTAACATATTATTAATATCCGTAGATATTTGAAGTGGACATATATGTGATTTATTTAATATTATTTTAGAGTCAGTTTTTCCCCAGATAAATGGACAGAGGGTGTTATATAAAAAGGGTGACTCAAGTGACGTAAAAAAATACAGGGGAATTACTGTCCTAAGTTGTTTATCGAAACGTTTAACCACTGTTATAAATGCTAGAATTGAAAACTTTTGTTCAAACAATTGTATTATATCAGACTGTCAATTTGGTTTCAGAAAAGGAAAATGCCATATTTATTTTACAAAATGTAATTCAACACTATCTTAATAATAATAAAAGGTTATATGTAGGGTTTATTGATTTAAAATCTTGTTTTCATAGCATATGTAGAAACTTGCTTTAGTTGAAAATGTATGAGTGGAGCATTCAAAAAATAGTGCGAATCATTAGAGATATGTATAATAAAGTTAAGTCATGTGTAAGATGTTGTAATTGTTATTCTGATTTCTTTAAGTATGCCGTGGGCCTAAGACAAGGGGGGGGGGTAATTTTGCCGATACTTTTCTCCCTTTTTGTTACATTTACAAAGTAACATAAGTTCTAGTTTGTTAATTAACGCTATTATTTTGATCTTGTTACTTTTTGCTGATGACATGGCTATTATAGGCAAAAGCCCGGATGATTTACAAAATAGCCTTGATTTATTGTATAGAATGTAGATTAGGAGTTAATAGATAATGATATTTAGAAAAAGGGGAAATATTTTTAACAATGAAAATTGGTTTTATAACGGACAAGAAATAGAAATTGTAGACCATTTTAATTATCTTGGCACAGTATTCAGCTACACTGGTAATTTTTCGTTGCACAGTGAACATTTGATTGGTAAATCTTTCAAAGCTTTAAATATGTTATTGTATAATTGTAAAGATTTTGATTTTAAACACACGTTATTGAGTCAGCTTTTTGATGCATTTGTTCGATCAGTTTTATCATACTCATTCGAGAATTGGGGCTATAATAATTCCAAATATATTGAACGTATACGCATGAAATTTTGTATGTTAGACAAAATACTTGTAACGCAAGCGTATATGGAGATTCAGGTAGATATCCTTTTTTTATAAATAAATATGTTAGAATTATAGAATTTTGGTGTATATTGGTAATTACAGATAATATTATCTTACAAAAAGTTTATGAACAAGGTTTATGCGATTGTCATAAAGGTTGTAATAATTGGGTTACTGATGTTAAGAATATGCTTGATATGTATGTTGTTTTTTTTTTCGATTATTTTGTTAATAATTTTAAAGTTGACTGTAAGAATTTTCCAAGATTATTTAAAGAAAGACTGTTGGATAATTATAGACAAGATTGGAATACAGCGATTGAAAACAGTTTAGTATTGGATCATTATAAAAGTTGTAAAACAACACTATCATATGAAAATTACTTAGATATTTTACCAAAACACTATAGATTTTTTTATTACAAGAATGAGAATGGCAGCTCATTCACTGAGAATTCAAACTGGAAGGTATGGTCAAAATAGAGTGCCACGTAATGGAAGATATTGTCTTTGCTGTAACAATGTTGATATAGAGGACGAATACCATTTCATATTGATATGCCCATGTTTCTTATAAATTAGAAAAAGGTTTATTAAAAAATACTACTATAAAAGACCTTCCATGATAAACTTTATTGAACTACTATGTAATAATCAAAAGAAAATATATGATTTAATCTGGCAAAATATATAAAAGAATCATTAAATTACAGAAATACTATTATTAATTCTGTCAGATATTTTTTTTCTGAATATATATGTGTATCTAAAGATTCTAACACTCACGTGATTTTGTCACTATAGACAAAGAAGGAAAAAAACTGGTGTTAAACTACCAATAAACACCGGTTAGGGACTACTTGTTTATAATTGATGCGCTGTTATGTTTTCACACTCGATTGTATAGTTTACAAAGCATTTTAAAGCAACAATAAAAAGCATTTTTATTTATATTTTCAGTTCGTATAATGCTTTCTTTTCATACAATACCGAAATAATATCTCACATACACTCACGCCACATTTTAGATCCATATCAGTTAATAAATATATTTTGACAAAACGGCGCCAATCCGTATAAGCAGCGTAATGACGTCATCCTAAGTAAACAACTCATTCATAAACAACATACATACAAGAATGATAAATGGGGCACTGACGTAAACACAATAAGACGTAAGTTTTTAATGTTGAAAACTTGATAAAATAACGTTTTTTTCTTATTATTTCTTTTGTTTAATAATTTCTATATCTTCGCAACAGTAGGGTGCGAAAATCGAACAGCGTTTTACGAAAATCGGCACCGGAAGTTATTTCCGCTTGAAAATTTAACATTAGTGATTTTCCTTATTTTATCGTGTTAGAATCGAAATCGGCCTGAGAGGTGTATATCGGCTATTTAACACCGGTTTTGTCGTTTTGATGCGAGACATTTAACCACTCAGGCCTACGGCCTTCGTGGTCAATTCCTACGCATCAAAATTCCAAACCGGTGTTAAATAGCCGATATACACCTCCCAGGCCGATCTTATTTCTTAAATATATAAATTCCATTCAACACTTTTATGTGTAGATTTTTTTCTGATGATATGTATGCTATGTAAACTTAATTATGTTTAAAACAGTTTATCTTGAACACTAGAGCGGGTGAACCTAATGCCGAACATGCTCTTAATTCCGGCCAAAATATTATAATTCATGTAATATTTCATGTTTAACACAATTCAAAAAAGTGACATCATCATTATGACCTCACTTTGTCTCTCTTTCCACCCGCGACATTTTAAATTCGAGGTTGTGTTGTTTGTTTTGATTTTGTGCATTTCAGGTTATACTTCAAATTTTGGTAAGTCAATTTATTTATAAGCTAACTTTTTACAAATTTTTACTAATATCATAAAATGTTGAGTATTGATGCTTTAGTCAAATTTTTTTGAAATCAATGATGTAGACAAAAATAAAAATCATGTGTGAAGCCCGTATGTATTAAGGTTGTATGACTTAAAAACTGGCAGTGTTCGGAATTACATACTGAACTCACTGAATGTTCCAAATTCCGAACAAAAGTTAAAAGAAAATAATTTGAAATTTTATTGTCATCTGCGGAAAATAATATTTAATGTAGTAAAGAGGGACAAAATACAAATACCTTTATTTTATTTTACAGTCATGAGCCGTCAAGTCGGGGTTAAAAGGCGAGCGTATGATCAAAGTATGGTCGATCAAGCTGCTGAGGTTGTTAGAAGCGGCAGTATGTCTCTCTGCGGGGCATCTAAACTCTACAAAATCCCAAAGACGACACTACACGACCGTGTAAAAAACAAGTATGCCAGCTCGAAGATTGGCGTGAAAACGGTGCTTTCACTTGAAGAGGAAACACGGCTTGAAAAATGGGCTCTACATATGTCTCGGATCGGCAATGAAAGAACCAGGAAAGAGCTTGCAGATGTCAACAGTTGTAAAAAGAATCATTGATGAAGACGGTAGAAAGGCCCCTTTTAAGGACAACCTACCTGGTAGGAAATGGTTGGATGTCTTTTTTTCACGTCACCCTGCTCTTAATTTTTGACCACCGTACAACTAGGGAAAGAAACAAAGGCAAAATAATGAAATGGTTCGAGGATTTGAAACAATACGTTACAGACGAAGTTGCTGATGCTTATTTGCTAGAAGATCCAAGTAGAATTTATAACGCAGACGAAAGTGGAATCTCTCTGTGTCCGACAAAGAATCGCAAAGTTATAGAAGAGACAGGAGCACCAGTTGTTTACCAGTATGGAAATTCTGATAAGACTCAAATGACCATAATGGCCGCAGCAAGTACCGTTGGTCATTATATACAACCCATGATAATTTACCCCGGGCAGCGGTTTGCGTACAACCCTCTTGAGGGATTTGAGGAAGCTGCCATGGGTGTTTCAGAGAATTTTTTTAATAAGTTCCTCATGTTCGGAATTAGGAACACCAATGTTCGGAATTACAATCATCGTTCGGTATCAGGGGCAGTTGGTAGATCTTTTGATCGGATGATAACGCCTTTATTTGTATTCGTTAGTGTTCTAATACCGGCCAAAATTGTAACATAATTACTAATTTAATGATATTGGATTGTCGCATTTTTGGATAAATCAAAATGTGGAATCTCCTGCTTCATTCAAGAATACTGTCAACTTAAGACTGCGTGATCATTTTATGCAAAATTGGAGAAGTACAATTAATAATTCCAGTAAATGTCTAAATTACAGGATTTATAAACAGGATTTTTGTTTTGAGCCATACCTCAGCAAGTTACCTATGAATTTAGCTTTAATTCTCTTTAAATTTAGAAGTATGAATCACAAACTTACTATTGAAAAAGGAAGGTTTGATGATATTCCAAGAGAACTTAGAACTTGCAACCTATGTAACAGTAACTCTTTAGGCGACGAATTCCATTATCTTTTTGAATGTTCACATTTAGTTAATACAAGAAAGCTGTATCTTGATAAATGTTTCTATGAACGTCCAAGTGCTTTAAAATTTGAAAAATTAATGAACAATAGTAATAAAGATATCCTTTTGAAACTTGCCATATTTTGCAAAAATATTATGTTATTATTTAAATTATGTTAGCTTATTAGATTTATGTCTTTTCTCTTTGTTTTTTTCTCGCAATGATTTTTGATTTTTCTCTCTCATCCTCCATTATCAGTCAATTATTACTGTAATTTTATTACATCATGAAGTTGTATGACCATTTATAATTTGCCATTTTGTAGTATTTTGTTTTTACATATTATTTGCCATTATGTATTATTTTGTATGTATGTACTGTTTTATGTTGTCACATGCCCATATGGGCCCTGACGTATTCAAATAAACCTTGAAACCTTGATTGAAGAGTTGTCTCTCTTTAGTTTAAAGTGCTCATAATTCCGACCGAAGTAAAACGCAGCTTAAGTGTTCGGTAATAGGTGCACCCGCTCTATAATATCAATTTTTGCTAATTTGTTAAAATAGTAACAGAATAAGGGAAACTTGTGCCTCTTTTGATTAATTTATTCGTGCCTGTAGATATAGTTTTGATAATTTTATACATTTACAAAAAAGTTTTATCATTTAAAACCATTCTGCATTATTATGAAAATAAACGTAAATCCGTGAACTTGCATAAACATTAACCAGTTTAAGCTGGTGTTTGTGAAAAAAGGAGCCTAAACATATGCAGAGAAGACTACTGCATCAACGCTAACATTGCAACTTTGAACAGTTCATCGTAGAGCCGAGAATAATTATACTGGCAACAAGGAAGTATAGACTGGTTTGATTTGGGGAAATGTTCATCCTAACGGCATTTTTAGTACAATTAGGTAGTTGTACTTACTTTCCTATTTCGAGTACCTGAATTCTTTTTTTTTGCTCTACCAAGGCTGTAGTCCTTGACCTTTAAAAATCAAATTCAAAATGGCCGCCATTTTTTTTTTTACTTTGATTCTCCCATAGGCAAGATAAAACACATCTTTTTAAATTTAATTTAAAGTTTTGCTTATTTTAGTCGGCTGAAGTGTGAACGAGAAGAATAAATGGGGAAAAAAATTTAATGCGAAAGAACATGTACTAGGACATGTTGTACCTACCGGAAAGAGCCAGTTCATCAAAAAGCCAATTTGTTAAAGTTCTTTATTTCGATTACAAGGGGCAGGACGTGAAGTGGTTGCACACTTGGTTCAAGCAAAAAATTTGGTTGCAAACATGACAAAATGGCTACTGAGTCATCAATTTCCACAACACTCGCGCTTATTTTCTCCAGGTAGGTGGGTTTGTATGTTATTTTGGAATTCTTTAATATGCCAATTTCTTCAAGCAACGCTTATGGCACACTCGGATTAAGGTCTCAGCTTCCTAGCTTTTGATTTGATGAAGTTATTGAGGATATTAACTGGTCGTGTAGATATCTTTAGATTTGACAGTGACAATACAGGGTAGTTTTATGCTCATTTATTCACAGCTGTAAGTTAAATGTCCACCAAAGAAGACAAATAAGTATCTATCAATACTGTCTTAATGCTTTATTTTACATGTTTCAAACAAAGCTTCAATAAACAACATATCTTGTTAAAGCCCACTCTGGTTGCAAACTTGTACTTCAAGTATTTGTGGTTGCAAACTTATTCGTCAAATATAAAACTGCCAAAGGATTTAACGAATATCGTATTGATCATTTGACAATTTATACAGTTGTGTTATTTCACTGGCTTTTAAATTGTTTTATATGGCTTTGAAATTTTAGCGGTTCTTTATTTAGTTGTAAATTGACTGTCCCAACTTTTACCTCTACCCTGCTTTTTGTGTCATACCTTACATGGTGCCTTTCCGGTAGTCCAGTGTGACAGTGACAAAATTCAAGAAAAGGAGATCTAAAAAAAACCCCAGAAGATTACGTCCGTTGTTAGATATAGAATGAATACAATTTGTGTTAGAAATAATTTTCTTAATGATACATATTAGATACTCCATTCAACTTTGATTACAATAACAAACGATGGAATAGTTGTTGAAATAAGTAAAAACGTGCTCGCATGTCTAAATTTCTTGCATGATATTCAAATAAAATCTTCGCTGTTTTTATCCGAGGCCAATAAAATAATGTTCTGTTAAGGGCACTCTGTACACCCTGTGTGAAACCACTCTATGCATGATGGTAACGCATTACCTTTTAATACGGAAGTGATAGAACAAAACGCAAATGGGGACAGTTGAAAAATTTAACTTTTTCCATACCCTGTTGGCAAAAAGCCATTACATCATTTTTATTCAAAGCATGCATCAAACACTCCTTTTGACATTACAAACCCAGCTTCGTTCAACATGCATGATAGTGTTTCGTCCATTGTTAGTTTAAAACCGAAAGTGAAAGTAGTTTTGAATATTTGAATTAATAGTAACACATTCGAACTATAAATTGCATTTGCAATATTAAACTCTGTAAAAAAGTGATCCCTTGGAAGCAATAAACGATTTTAATCACTTGAAAAGATATAGTGTGTTTTATAAAATAAAATCGTCATCCCTACGCGGACTTCTTTATGTCATAGTCATTTTACCCTCATTTGGGGTTAGTAATGCGTCGTACGACACAGGTCGATATTTGAGACCGGTGTGTATACGATGCTGTTACGGGTGAAGTATTTAACATAATTTATTCTACGTTAAAGTCAAGTTTAAAATGTGTGTATGTATACACAACTTAAATACATTTGTTTCTTATAACTTGTTAAGGAATAATTTAAATAGTCCACCACTTAACGCTTCGGTTAACAAAGTAATTCAGTACTGACTGCTTGGATACTGATTTATATATAATTGGCAAAATGGTCGAGTATACAATGATACTAGTTCTTATTCTAAGTATTCTGACATGGATCACAACAAATAATTACTACAATTACACGTATTCAAAACCTCAGGATTGTCAAGATGTTCAAAAATACGGGCATAATAAAACTGGTGTTTATACAATATACCCGGAAGGAACTTTGGGATTTCCGGTCAGGTGTGATTTTAATGATTCTACTTTCGGTGCATGGACTGTGATACAACGTCGCGTTTCAGCCAGTGACTTCTACAAAAGCTGGAATGAATATCAGGTTGGATTTGGTGATCTAAGCGACAATTTCTGGCTTGGAAATCAACAAATTCATATGATTACAAGGCAAGGCTGGTATGAGCTACGCATTGATATTGTATCTCCTGAATATGAAGTGGCACATGCGTTATATAATGTGTTCTATGTCGGGGATGCGAAGTCACAATATGAACTGTTTGTTGATGGATATAGTGGGACAGCCGGGGATAGTATGAAGTCACACAATGGAAAGAAATTTACAACTAAAGATAAAGATAATGACCATTATGAACATAATTGTGCAGTGCTATATAAAGGTGCATGGTGGTATGGATCATGCCATGCAGCAAATCTTAATGGTGACTATGGTAATACTGATTATGCCAAAGGTTTGTCTTGGGATACTTGGAAAGGATATTACCTTTCAATGAAAACCACAGAAATGAAGATTCGGCGATGGCAGTCCCTGAATATGCAGGGATAAAATTATATGACACACAATTTACGAGAAAATGAACTAATATAATTATATCTCATATGAAATAATAATAATAATAAAAATAATATTTAATGATGATGATGTAAAGTATAACGCACTTGAACAATGTATCAGTCCTTCTTGAGGCCCTCAACAAGGAACAATGTAAATTTATAACACTAAAACTATTAAAATACATACATGATATTTAAAAGACAAGCTATCAATTTGTAATTATTGAATTGACACTAACAGAGCTGCATCAGTGTATAATAACATTTAAAGCCTAAGGTTTTAAAATGGTTTACAAATGTAGCAGACTTGAATATAATCAGGAAGGTCTTTCCAAATTCAACAAATGACTTACATTCTTATGTTAAGTTGAAAATCAGACGATGAACGCAAATTGCGAGTATGAACACCTGACCATAAAATTATTGAATAAATAGGAAGGCGTCTGATTATTCATTATTTTTAACATCATAATAGCTTTTTTTTTTAAAAAAAAAACACACACACACAAACAAAAAATCCCAACCCTTTGTGAAAAAGTCATCCAGCGGAGTTAAGAAATATAATTGATATATGGAGGCCCTATTCGTCTGAGCTGCATTACAAGATTTTTTTCAACATTTTACTCGCCTTGGACATATTTCAATGAAGCGCGGGATCATCATAACGATGTTAAGGGGCGGCTCAAAAAAAGAAGTCTGATCCGCTGTGTCCACTGTGTTCTGTCATTTTGAAGTTATATGAAAATGTTATATTATTTTTTTAAGAATTGAGAAAGTCATCAATATAAATCCTCTTCAAGGTGTATTGCAAAAGAATTTAAATTATCTGATGACATCTTTCGTAGTTAAAGATAGTATATACTATGCAAATGAAAACAAAGCTAAGCTATATATGCGTGTTATCTTGATGTCAAACAAGCATTCATATCATGTGAACAATAATATTCTGATGCTCAAATTAGCAGAAACCGGACTTGACATCTCAATTTTAAAAATCATTCTGAATATAACAAAGCAAGCCTCTAGTTGTGTGAGATCTCAAGGTATACAGTCGGTCTTTTTCCCAATTTTACATTGAGCAAGACAGGGTCAGATGACTAGTGCATTAATGTACTTAATATTCATAAATGATGTAATGAATGCATTAGACTGCAGTAAGCAGTTTTAAACTTGACAATACATGGATGTCCAACATGCACTGATGGCATGGTTCTACTTTCTTTCTTTATAAAAAAATGGATTACAAGAACTTTAAAATATATGCTACAGCTACTCTCTACAAAACAGATATTTCTACAACACCAAGGAAACAAAATTTGTGGTTTATAATGGCAGTGATAATGATAATAAATTGAAATGGTATTTACTATTTAGGTACTAATAATCTAGAAGTGCGCAACGAATAGTGTACATGAGCCAAAGTAGTGAGCGAGAGCTGCACAAAATTACGTAAAACACCTGTGGTGTACATTATGACGGCTTACATCCTCTAACATCGAAACATCTATATGAAACTGTTGTTTTATCTAAGGCTCTATAAGGCTTTGAAATGGGCTATCATAGTCACAAATCCAGCTACTAGAGAGAGAACGCACATAGACAGTGTGTTAAAAATATTCAAAGGATGCCAAAATATACGAAAACAGAAAAAGCCCTGAGTCTACTTGGAATCTACCCAATTGAATACTTTATAGATAAGAGGAAATTAAGCTCCAGTTAAATTTGGCCGGTTGTGTACTTTGGATAGCTCAAAAGAATCAAATATATGTTCATTAAACGATTGTTAATGTTCATGTCAACCCCTCAAACATGTACAGGTTTCATATCAGACATTTACAGAATCTTAGGAAAATAGGATTCAACTAGCCTGCTAACAAATTTCATAAACGATGCGATATTTCCCTCTAAAATTCTATGATATATTTTGATATCAAAATCTTTTTATACCTTTGCTTCATAATGCGTTTGTTTCATGTGCTATATGGAAATTTTGTCAGATGTTAGATACTGTATTAAAGCTATTTCTGCTTTAAGTCGATATTTTTCTTATAAATTCTTGTGTGTTTGTAAAACGTGTAACTTAACCTCCTCTATTGTTATTCATCTAACATTGTTTTGCTGTATGTGGTT